ATCCTCCCCTTTAGATCATAGGACCATAAAACATAGGAGTAGAAGCCTTTCAGCCCATCGAGTCTGCTCCACCATTCAATGAAATCATGGCTGATCTGATAAAATCCTCAACTCCACCTTCCTTCCTTATCCCATATTACAGATTAAAAATCAGTTGATCTCGGTCTTGAATATGTTTAACAATATGGCCCCAGAAGCTCTCTGTGTTAGAGAATTCCAGAGATTCAGTAACATGTAGACACATTTCATTTGATTCAATTCAACAAATTAGTTGACAGCCATTCTCTAGTTCATTCCTCAGGGTAATGTCTTGGCCGATTAGAGTCAACCTGCCTGGTTTAAGTTTAAACAAGGCTTGACTGTTAACTGTCAGTCATCATCTAATTGATGCATTCTCCATGGCCAAGCCTCTACCGATCAGCACTCTACTTATACAGTATAATCTGTTGTTCCCCTTTACATTAGACTTCTTGCAAATGTCCTGATGATTGCAAACCAAAGAGCTTCGACAAAATGTGTCTTTTCAGCAATAAGTAAGTTCTGTCCTACACGAGGACTATAGTATATTATTTTTTAAATCACCAACATAATTAAAATCTGAAGGAATGAGATTCCATACTTGTATAAGTAAATTTTTAGTGTCAAAGTGTTTGTTTGAAAATAATTAAAATATATCACACTTTAAAATTTACTTACATTGGAATAAACATGGCCTAACTCTTACTGACATGTTCACTGGGGATAATGGTATAAACTGTAGTTACATGTCTTTTGTGCTCATTGGGATCAGAGTGGGTGTGTAATATAGTACATGTCCTTCATGTGTTCCGATGCTAGGTTGCTCGGTGAGGTACCAGTGTAGAAAAGCTCGTGGAGGACCAGGACAGCAACATTCACATTACTACGCTGAGTTGTGCATTTGCAGATGCTGGAAATTGCTGTCCAATTTCCTCTCTAACAACTGTGAGCATGAAACTCTCACTGTTATTCCTACTGTTTATTTACTATTTCCTATTTTATTTATCAAAAGCCATTGAAAATTAAAACTCACATCTATTTCATTTTGCAAATGATGCAGGAAGCCATTAAATAGAAGAATTTGCTTCCAGCCTGCTCTTTGTCCACAGAAGAAGTCTCAGCCTGGCTCCAGCCACAAAGATCACACAGAGATCTATGTATTGCTTCCCTGCACTCAAGCACTAATGAATAATGCTTGTATAATGACTCTGGAATATGAGTAGCAGCTGCAATTCCAGTGAGCAACATTTCTATTTTAACAACCTTCATTGAGTTTAAATAAAACATTTTTCTAGTCCTCCATTATTTGCTGAACATCATTATTTCCTAAAACAAAACTGTGAAATTTAAGACCGTTGTCATGTGACTACAGTCTCCACATACCACTGACAAAAGCTCAAACTGCTTTTGAATTAACAAGTAAAGCCTCAAACCCACAGGAAAATCTGGTGCTGGAAAGCATTTGATAATTACAGTTGCTTTCTCTTACTGTAGCACAATCAATTTCCTTTAAGGTATTTTATATAATTATTTAATTTGCAGGAGCCATTTTTGTGGTTTTTTTTTATTAAAGCATGTCTGTTTCATATGGTTGTAATATCTTTAACCAGAGTTGAATCATTCTTAATTATTTCCTCCAAATCCCAAAAATATGTTTGTAAACTCAATGTATTCCTCATTGCTGTGTGTGCCTTTATGTGCCATTTATCACTCAGTATTCACTATATTGTTCAGTATTGGTCGGGATTCAGTTGGTAATACTCCTGCATCTGACTGAGATGATTGTGAGTTCAAATCCCAATCCAGAAACTTAAATACATAACTGTAGGGTGGCACTGAGCATGCGACCTGAGGGTCGACTTTCTCAGCAAGGGGTGGTGTGTGTATGGAACGAGCTACCAGAGGAGGTGGTGGAGGTGAATACAATTATAATGTTTAAAAGGCATCTGGATAGGTACATAAATAGGTAGGGTTTAGAGGGATATGGACCAAATGCTGGCAAATGGGACTAGATCAGTTTAGAATATTTGGTTGGCATGGATGAGTTGGACCTAAGGGCCTGTTTCTGTGCTGTATAACTCTATGACTATGATTCTATGACTCTATGGCAGGAAGCCCTGTCAACCCTCACGTGGTCACAGAGAATTACTGGTATTATTTCAAAGAAGGACAGAAAGTTATCCTTGGTCTCCTGGCTAATATTTATCTCTGTGCAAATAAATATTACTCATCTGGTAATTATCACATTTCTGTTTGTGGGAGTTTGCTGTGTGTAAGTTGACCACTCTGTTTCCTACAGTGCAATAGCGATTACATTTCAAATATACTGCATTGGTGGTCAAGTATTTTGGAACTTCTTGAAGTTGTGCAAGCTGCTTGATAAATACAAGTCTCTTTTTTTTGTGAAATCATATGAAAGCACTGTGTGCTTTTTCTTTAAATGATTTATACTTTAGTTACACAAATATGGAGAGAAAACTATCCAATAGTTAAAATATCCAATTGTACTTTATTTCATTGGAAAAGCTCAAATTTCAAACATTCTCCCTACATTCCCTACTTTGTTGCTAGATTTTATGTGGACTTTGACTTCAGAAAATTTCTTCAGATTTGACCGAGCTGATGGTTTTCCACTGCAATTGGCAACATAGGATCTAGTCTCCAGTGTAGTGTACATCACTGGCAGACCTAGTGAGACCAATACTGAATGTTTAGCTTGCTCAACCTTTACCAGAGGGGCTTTTAAAAAATTCTGCATTGTTGGCAAGGCCAGCATTTGTTACCCACTTCACAGAAGCTGATGATGTGCTTTTGTCTTGATTTTTTTTGTGTTTTGATGAAGCTGAATGCCTTATGGTGGAAAGCAATTAAATGTCAGCTATATTGGTGTGGGAGTGAATCACAGAAAGGCCATACTGAGTAAGGACCATAGATTTGCTTTGCTAAAGGACATTATGAACCAGGAAGGATTAGAAATGACAACCTGACAGTGTTTTATCTCCAGATTTAAAAATGCAATACTAAATTTAAATTCTGTGGTGGAAAGGTGAACTCACATAGTGTGCGGCCTCTACACAAGTAGGACTCAAATGACTTGTGGACAAATTGAAAATTTCGAATGTAAGGTGATAACAATAGTTTTCATTTATTAAAATGAAGTCTGCTCCATTAATTTAAAAACGACTTTAAGTTTCAATCTTACAGAAGATTTCCCCTTTAAGGGCCCCAGATGTCAAATATGTGAGTGATATCTACTGCATCAATAAGAGAATCGTGGATTATTTTTACTGAATTAGATGTTCGGAACACTTTCTGAACAACAATAAATGTAAGACAAAGTTTCTGCAAATAATACTGGACAGTCGTTAAGCGGTTAGAAAGTGCCAGCATTATAAGGGTTACAATTATATTCATTTTGGAGCCACACGATCTGTGATGTTGGAGTGCCCTCTAGTGGTCATTCAGTATACGTCGCTCTGTGTTCACACAACCAGCCAAATCCTACCATCTCTAATCTTGGCCATAATTAGGTTTAGATTTTTAAAAAACTACTGTTGCTGGAATATTTATTAACTTATTTCAGAAATATAGCTTTTTTGCATTAGAAAAATGGTAGAAAATTGGTGATGAATCTTTATGAACAGCTATTTAGCCCGGTTTGCTTCTTTTTTTTGAACAATCGCACCAAAAAAAGACAAAAGAATGTGCAAGTATTTCATGTGGTTGGAAGTTTTACGTAAAAAATTATCATTGTTTGAGCTGTGATTATCTCCATATTTGACGATGCATGGTCACGTGCTCTATACAAGACGTGGTATGGAGCTCAGTCAGTGAAACGATTGCTTTCCCAACAGATGGCAGCTTGTCGGTGCGCTGCTGTTGGGGGTTAACACGGGGCTCTATTCTATTTGTTCATGGTAATTAGAGAGGATAATGTACTCTGGCTGGAGATCCAGCTCGGGGCAAATTGCAAACCGGTATGGTTGGATTTCAAGCACACCTTATCAAAACTGCTAATTATAGGGAGTAGACCCAGATGTAGCTTGCTTAAAAAAAACCTTTTATTCCCTTGTCTCTCGAAGGCAGAACACCAGAAAATGTTGGAAGTACTCAGCAGCATTTGTACAGAGAGAAAGTGTGGGGTACTGTTTCAGATCTGCGACCTTTCATCAGAACTGACCTGTACAGGTCATAGACCTGAAGCATTGGCCTGAATCACTCTCCCAGTGGGTTGCGATCCGGGTGTTGACCTCTTAATTGAGAACCCAGACGTGGACGAGAGTCTGGCAGACGTCACCGTCACTGAGGTGACCAATTAAGAAGCCACTCAGCTCTGGAGCCCCTGTTGGAAAAAGTTGCCAAGCTTGGCTGATGGATAGGGTCACCAGTCATCTCTGCAGTGAGAGCGTTTACTGAGGGTTACTGGCAGTAGGTGTGGCAGTAGTGGGGACCCCTTCAGGAAGAAGGAAGTGGTTTCCATTGCAGCACAATGTAATTGGCAGAGGCACCAGCCTTTACATTGGCATGCCATCTATGTGGGAAAGCTTGAGCACTGCAAGTTCATGGTAGCAATCTAATCAAAGACTTTCATGTTGCTTGGGGCGGTGGGAGAGGGTGTTTGACTTCTTGAAGTTTCCTTCCATTTTCTGGCTCCTTACACAGTGATGAACCTACATGGTCAAATTTCAAACCATTACAGACGGAATACCCTATTAAAATTCCTAACCAGCTACCAGTCACTGTCAGGGGAATGTTGTTGCTGCTGGGAACTCAGTGTTTGGATAAACATCTTTGTACATTGTGACATGTTAATATGCATGTGATCTCTGTGTCTTCTATAAAAGAGGGCAGCAGCCATTATGAGCACTACAGTAATGTGTATCTGGGACTGTGTCGGTAGTATGTATTTTTGATGGTACAGACTCGATGGGCCCAAGGGCCACTTTTTAAACTATGGTACTATGATTTTTTTTTGATAGCAGGAAGTGAGCAGGATACAGTGCAAATCGACAAAGAATAATTGAAACTTCAGTCTGCAACTTTGTAGAAGACATTCACTGTTGGCTGAATCATTATGGCTTTGAAAATTCCAGTACTTGCTGTTATTGGATGTGACGGTGAAAATAAATCGGAAATTCTTCTAGGTTAATGAACAGATTGATAACACTACTATAGAGTTATAAAGGAGACCTGAACAAGAGTAAGTAACAGTCAGTGCTATCAGTGGTGGGGAAAAAGCTGCATTGCGCCCTAGGCCTCCCTGATGAGCAGGAGAGCTAATTTTGTGAATGTTTGGATGTCTTGATTACCCATTTTGAAGCCTGTAGTAATGCCACTTATGACTGTTATATGTTTAACATAACATAAGGAAGAGAAGATGAAGGAATAATTTGTGACCGCACTGTGATGTCTCACTAAATTTTGTTGGGTGACTGAATTATGATCTTATCAGAGAAAGGATTCATGCGATCAAGAGATCCTGAGAGCATATTTACTGAGAAGTTAAAAAAAAACTTATTTGATAACACCATTGATGTGTGCAAAATTTCTGAAGTTGCTAATGGTCAGCTGAAAAGTATTGATGGGAGAACTGACCAGGCTTTGCACAATGTTGAGAGGCAGGCCAAGATTTCCAAATACAAGTCAATGAGGAAAAGGAAGAACAAATTACAGAGCAGCCAGCTGAACGATCAAGGCCAAAGTAATGAATTTCAAAACAGTGGAAGAGGCTACACAAAAGAAAATGAAACATGTCCAGCATGGGGTTGCTGTGCTCTAACTGCAAGATGCTGCATGCAATGAATAAAAGCAAGGTATAAAGATAATTGTTGGGGAAATGTCGGACTATGCATTTGATGAATCACTCTACAACTACCAAATAGTTGCCACCTTCAGGACTCAAGGTTGTGTTTATAGCAATGATAACTGCAGCAGGAGAGCATCAGGTTAACGTAAAGTGTGAGGTAAACACTGGTGCTACATGCAACAGCTTTGCAGACTTGTGTGAAGTGGGTCAATATTAAAGTGGCGGAAGATAAAATCAAGGCTTTACGAGGGCTGGATGCTCACTCCGTGACGATTAAACTAGGCTGATAGTCCAATGCAATGGGAAGACAGAAGATCTGCAGTTCCAGATCGTGTTCATAAACAAAACATAACAGCTAAAACAAGTCAAAATCTTGGTCTGGTAACACTTCATGAACCAGAGGAGATTTGCAGTGGCTTCACATGACATCAAGCCTTTAATTGCTGAATAAATGCTGACAAAATCTGAAGTTTTTTTGCAGGCCTTGTATGTCTTCATGGTGAACTGAAATAGATGAGAGCATGAGATTGGCTCAACATCTATTCTGCAGGCCAGCCTGAAAGACAAGATAGAGGAGGTGGAAAAGAAGGGAGTAATCACGAAAGCGGCAAGCCCCACAGCTTGGATTTGCAGCTTGGCGCTAGTGAAGAACCTAGAAAGCTGAGAATGTGCATTAGCCCAAAATATGTCAGTAAAGCTTTGAAGAGACCTCACTAACCGATGCCATCTAAAAGCAAATTCAGCTGCAGCTTGCCAAGGGAAACATCTTCACTACTTGACTTGCAAAGGAGAGATATTTGCAAGTGAATTTGGATGAAAGTAACAGTTTTTACATTCTGGATGTCATTTGGGAGCTACAGATGAGTATTTATGCTGTTTGGTATTTTTGGAGGAGTGTCAATGTTGATAGCAGGAGGTAGCTGAAGATCTGTATGATTGAAAATGATCTTGGGTGATCTGCTGGTCTATCATTGTGGAGACACAATGGAAGAAGCCATTGCTAGAGAGAGAGTGCCAGAAGAACTTAAACTGAATAAATGAATATGATTGCAGTCAAGTACATCTACTGACAGCAAAAGGACTTTGCCCTGATCTTGATAAGGTGAGAACTGTAAAAGAAGTGTAGCAACTGACCGATGTCAAAATGGTCCAGGAGTCTGTAGGACCTGTGTAATACCAACTATTAAGCTTTTGCCTTGTCTTCTTTCTCACAGGGGTCGATTATCTCATTACTGTCGGCCACAGTTCAGAATAATAAGAGTTAGATGAACTAATGTCAACCACTGCCAATGAGATTGTAGGATGCCAGAGAGCACACTTCAGTTGTCATAGTATTCCCAACATTTTGAGGAGCGACAGTGGCCCTCAGTTCATGAGTGAAGATTTCAGGTACTTCCTGAATAATTGGGAAATGCAGTAGCACACATCATCTCTACACTATTTCCATTCAAAAGGAAAGGCTGGATGAGCGGTAAACACTGTTGAAGGGGTCATTAAAAAAAATCTCATTTAGATTCAGTCCAGATGTGTACAAGGCAAAATTTAAAGTGATATGCAAACTAAAATTATGAAAAGTAGTCCAACCCAGTAATTAATGTCAGATCATGTCTAAACAGCTCTTTCAACAGCTAAAAAAAACTACTGAAGCCAGAAGCAGAAACAGACATGAGTGACAAGATTGACATGAAACGACAGAAAGCTAAAGCTGCCAAGCCATTGTCAGAGGTAAGAGTGGGAGAGTGCCTCAGGGAACAAGCATTCGGTGTACTCAATAAATATCAACCCACTTGGTAACTTGGGATCTTTGTCGTTGTCACTTCAATTGCAAATGATAAAATGTAACAACCAGATGTATCGCTGCAACAACTGATGAGGCAGATTTGATTTTGCCAACTGAAACATAAAATTAGAAATCCATCAACTCCAGAGCTCAGCCATTCCCCAGTCAATGCAATCAGCAGCAATAATTCCCACACCAGCAAAACTTTTCTCAGCAATGGCGAGGCAAAGTCATTACAGGAAACAGCAGATACTAGAGGAAAAACCAGTAGAAACTCACATGCGTAACATCAGAAGACCTGATGGCTTAAGGATTATGGATTCAATGTGTGTGTAGGAACAAACAAGGTTAGAACACATTAGAAAGAAGAAACAGTTCTTTCTTCCCACGTGATAATTTTCTCCATTATCTATGTGTGTTTAGTAATTTGCAAATGTTCATCATGCAATTTTTTTGGTGGAAAAGGAGACTGTTTGGATAAATGCATTTATGTGCTGCGGTTTGCCACATTCGCTTGACTGCTGATATCATTTAATGGAATTAAAGGGTTTAGGTAGTGGCCATTTTAGAAAAACCCACCCCTGGGAAAAGTGCTTGAAGATGAGAACATGTTGCGGAGCCAGACGAAAACAGGTCCTTTCAATCTTCATCTTCTTCTTCTCACCCTTCCTCCAAAGCAGCCTCCTTGTGGTTGGAAACATTGAGTCCATTAGCTGTGTTTCCACTTCCACGGTTTCTACCACACCGACTGAGCAATTTTCTCTTCTTGCTTCCGATTTCCTGCGCCTGCAATAATTTGCTTTTGCTTTCAAATTATGTTGTTTCCTTTCAAATGATCGATCAATCTGAAGATTGAACGTGAGAAAGCAGTTCCAGAGCATGATGACTAGATTGCTGGAGACGTGGCCGCCATTATTTGGATTAGATGAGTGGGGAATTCACATCATGGAAGAATTAGTGCAAGTCCTCTGGGTTAGAGTGTGAAATAGCATGCCTGAAGGAGGTTAGAGAGCTATGAAGGGATTTAAACACAAGGTAGAGAATTATAATTTGCAGATATTGGGGGGAATGGGAGCCAAAATAGATCGGCAACTGCAAGAGTGAGGAATGAGTCGACAGCAGAATTCTGGATGAGCTGCAGGGCAGTTTAATAAATTTTAGTTGAGGAGAGGAATGTGATACATCCTGCAGTTATGCAGTCCTTTGACAATCAGTATTAAATTTGCTGAACATCTGTGGATCTTTAATCTTGGCAAGGAATAAACACTTTAAGAGGGGTTGGGAAGAAATTTGGCAGAAAAACAAAATAAAACCATTATTTTTCATGAACTCATTATTCAAACAACCAAAACTAACTAACTGATAAAACCCCATAAAATTCAAGTTATTCAAAAGTCTCTCTATCACTTTTCCCTTGGTGCCTTGCTCTTACCAATTCTCTACCCACACTGATTACTGAATCTGGAATATATTGTTTGGCTAATTGGTGTAGGCAATGTAACTTTACAAGGCTTCTCTTCTAATGCTGCATTAGAACTGCATTATTTTCTGACATTATTTCAACAATTGTTTCCTGGAAGAAAATTTGCAATTTGAATCTTGTACTTCCTAAATCCACATAAATGCATCAAACCTGTTCTCAGGCAGAGTTTCATGGCATTGGTAAAGTTTCTTCTTTCTCAGTTTTGAGAGTAGCCTTTTAAAGGAGTGTTGAAATTTCTCAGACAAAGATCTTGCTACCAACTACTTCTGTACTTGGAACAACTGAACAGTTTGACATAGGACTCCCCTTAGTAATTACAGCAGTATTTCTGAGCAGAGTGAGGAAGTGGAACTCTGGAGGCATAGAAATCACATTAACTTATGCCTGTTGGGTTCAGTGCTGATCTGCTGTTAACCCAGGAGCTGTGCCTACAGCTACTATTATCTGGCAATGTTACAGGATATCTGCATTACGGCAGTCACCTTGTCATATCACCTGCCTGACCTAAATATGTCTTGTCCCACAGGATCTGCTAAGTCTGTGAAAATGAAGGTGTTCCAGCACCAACATTCAAACAGTCACTGGGAGCACTAATCTGTAACCTTTCTCAGTCAATTGTGAACTGATACATCAAACAAGTACCAGCATTCTTTTAGTTCCCCAGGAAGAAACCTGCATCATTTTCCCTTCAAGAAGTGAAATCATCAAGGGTCCACGACCTGTGAATCTTTTATATAGTTGGGAATTTCTCCCTTAAGTTTTCTGCCATTTTGTGACACAGGCAAAAAACTTGCCTTGAAATACTCTGAGATAAAGGGACACGTATCAAATCCAGTCTGTCAGGTACCTGGTCTTGTGGGTAGGCTATGCTGCAATTTTATGATGCTTGAAGCATTTAAGAATTGTAAGCATCCGGAGGCTTTCAATTGTACATTGTGTCTAAACTTTGT